CTTATCTCCCCTTCTTCTTTTTTATGTTTGTTACTCTCTTGTAACACCTCTAATCTTCTGGCGCTCATATGACCTTATGCAGTTGCGAGCGCCGTAAAACTTCTACTAAAGCTAAAGCTGAGTCCGGGTCACCGTTTACCCTGATTGGCAGGGTGGGAAGTCCGACCACGACTCTTTAAGTGATCTACATTTTTTCAATGGGGTGTAAATATACATGTGGGAGGCATTGTGGTGAAAGCGGGCCCTCGTCAAAATAACAAAATTGGAGAAACAGGCATTTTCCCGCCAGTTACGAAATTTTTATTGAATTTTTATTTATTGGTTTAAACCTCATTTCTATCTGTATAAAAACACACCATTTCGTGTGAATTTTACTGAAAAACATTGATGAAAGGCTCAAAATATGTCACTTTTCAGTTTTCAAAGACTCTTTAGCTATTGCAGTTACCAAACTTGGCAGCCATTTTCTGGCTAATTTCCCCACTCAAACTATGCGACCTCAATCATAAATATGTTGAGTTCTATTCAAGATAAATGGATATTTGCTTCATTATTTGTTACTCTCTTGTAGCACCTCTAATCTTCGGCATTCATATGACTTTATTGTGTTGCAAGTGCCGTAAAATCTTAGTAAAACTTACTTCATTGGAAACAAGGCAAATCCATCAGCTTTCAGATGATACCAATAACTCCACTTGCCCAAAAATTGACTAACGCCTGATTCCACTGTGTCGTGACACATATAATACTTTTGTTTTTTTCAGATTGGGTTTGAAGACAACGCCGTCCACTTCCGGGAGGCTCAGGTAGACGGGGACTTGTTGTTGATATTGACCGACGATGACCTTCACGGGGCTCTCGGCATGACCTCTAGCGTCGTCCGGAAGAGGTGAGAGGAGGGGAGGAGGGAAAGATGGGAGGAGGGAGGTATGAAGTTTCATCTGGAAGAGGTGAATGGATGGGAGGAGGGAGAGATGTGGTGGTGTGAAGGAGAGGTGAGTGGATGGTAGGATAGAGAGAAGGAAGGAGGAAGGAGGGTGGTATGTGGTGTCATGAGTGGATGTGAAACTAGAGAGAAAGAAGGATGGAGGTATGCTGGTGTTGTGAGAAAGAAGTGAGTGGATGTGAGGATAGAGAGAAAGAAGGATGGAGGTGTGCTGGTGTTGTGAGAAAGAAGTGAGTGGATGTGAGGATAGAGAGAAAGAAGGATGGAGGTATGCTGGTGTTGTGAGAAAGTGAGTGGATGTGAGGATAGAGAGAAAGAAGGAG